AGAAACTTTCAAGCGTTTACATGTTTACACAGAGGATGCCATTTTAGAAGCGCCTTTAAATGTACATTTATGTAAACATTCAAAGATAGAAACAAATCGGGCATCATCTTATATTAGGGAAAAATAACAACCGTCCTTTGATTCTTATAATTCAATTAAGTATACATTTATTCGCTTAACTCATTTCTAAACAAACCCAAATTTTCAATACGATAAATGGGAAAGAAACTTTAAAACATCGTATAAACTTTACCAGAACTCGTGTGCGACTAGATCTAAATATGTTTATCACAACTTTAAAGCAATTTCTAGATTCCGAACACTGGGAGACCAGCATAACAAGTTGAACCAGTTTCCAATGGCTTGGAAATTAAATGTGGCATTCTGCTCTCGATTTATGCTCCCTCAGCACCAGGCGTTCCATTTCCCGTTTCCCAGCCAGGACCGTGTCTGCTGCAAGCCCTAAAATTTCCATTATAATCGAAACTTTTTATCGGCTCATTGCGCACTTGGCAAAACTTTTGCATTTCGCACGCGCTCAAAATTACTCCACACAGACTGTAAGTCCTCCGGGGGGAAATGTCCTGCGGCCACTTGACGCATTAGGGAACTAGGATTGCGATACACTTTGTCCACATTAATACGAGCATCAAAAAGTATGTAATTGAAACCGGCGGATAGACAGACCATCGGTTCCACGGGGGGAAACGCAAAGCTATTAGTTCCCGTCTGTGGAGCTCGGGCCGATGTCTGATCTGATTTGGGTAACTGAAAGCTTACCTGCCCGCTAATTATGCTAATTATTATAACAATTAGCTGAACAACTTTTCTCTTTTGTTGAATCTCGAATTCGCGATTTAATATTCGGAAAGTCTGCTTAAAACTTTGCCACATTGTGCCTCACGCTGCTCCGTTAATGGCCAGAACTTTGAATATAGTTAATAATGCAATATCCGAAACTTTCAGTGGATTTTTCGTTAAGATTCATGGAAGTTCTAAGTTTCTGCACAACTCCCGAGTACATATCTATGCACATAAGTTTTGGCAAATAATTCACTAGACCTTCTCAGCGCCCAAATTGGAAAATGAAGTTGAGTCTTAAATAGCTTTTTGATGGAGCCCTGATGCGAGGTTGCCCCAGAAAAATATTAGCCCAAAAATAACATCGTGGCTCTGCTGAGGGTACGAGATGGGGCTTTGGCTGGGGCTGATGCTGATGCTCATGCTCTGGCCCATAGAGTAAACACAATTCAATTAACTCTGCGCTCGTTGTCGGAGGCTTAGTTGGTCGCGTTTTTGGGGCATTGTTGTGTCGAGGCCCGGGCAGACGCTAAAACTGAAAACGACAAGCCGATGATGGCACATAGCCAAAGGCGTCCTGTACAGTGTGGGCAAGACAGGGAGGCAGGTGGCAGATGACGGTGACTGCAACTACGGGTTGCATGCAACAAGCCGCCAGCTACAGCAAGGGATTTGCATTATTAAAATTTTCATTTGGTAGCCTCTGCGCCAACCTTCTCTCCCTAAAATGAGGAACCAACTAATTGACCATTGAAAATAAAGAGTCTTTTCTCTTCAAAGCAATGAAAGTACGTTATGCATAAACCTGAAATGAAAGGGGCTGGGCCTTATGACAGCCCTTCTATATTGTCAGGTTAATGATGATTACAACTGGTTTATGCTTAATGAGATAAATTCTGCAAAAATGACTCTAGACCGAGCAAAACAAGCGTCAACGTTGCGTTCCTTCATCCATCATCTACCATAAGTTTGGGCAAAGCAGCAGCTGAAGTGTAAATGTCATTGTCAGCCCGGTTTTGGTGGAAGCAAAGAGAAGACAGGAAGACAAAAGGAAGGCTAGTCTGTGGAACGTTTACATACCCAGTAATCGTATGTATTATGAGTGAAGTTCCCGTTATTCTGACGCCCACCGAAGTAGTGTTTTTAGAAGGAGGAACACTAGCTCATACCATATCATATAAAAACCAATTACCCTTAAAGTCAGCCTCAAAAGTTGTTCGGTATTTATGGGAATCCTGGGAATAAATGCCGCCCATTGGGTATCCAGAGGGCGACCCAACTGTGCCACAACATCGATACTGCTGTTTTCTATTGCTTCTTTTACTGTGCGAGACAGCAGTCAAGAGTCGGGCTCTGGATGAGGACACGATGCGTGGCTGTGGCCGAGATGGAGACGCACGACTGCCGTTGACACTTTGCCAAAGAGTAGAGTCGGGGAAAGACCGGCAGCTCGAAAGGGTAAGAAACACAGCCGTGACTGCGGGAGCGGTAAAGTGTGACTTTGATTTTTGGCCAGAGTGGGGATGGGTCCGCGGCGGGAGCTGGGTCTAAAAGTCGGTTGCCAGCATCGCGACCACGTGACTTACCTTGAAATAATGACTTCATTTTCCGCCGCATACATTTCCAGCAATGTCACGCTCCACTGTTTCCCTTTGTGCTGCCGTGTTTCTAACTCTCGAACAAACATCTTTAAAGTTGGGTCACCAGAAAACGATATCGCACTTCCTATTTTTGTGGTCCCAGAAATAACTTCTGTTGAATTCCTTTAAATTGAATCCACTTTTTTTGTCCAGCCTCGAGTGTGTGTTAAATTATTTTTAGGGGGTAATTTTCCGAGTGGGTAGTATGTTGGATTGTTGGCGTAGGCCATGGCCATGCATGAGCTTGCCAAACCAATATTTTATATAATGTTTCAATTTTCCATCAAATAGATACAGATACGATTGTGGATGCGTTTGTGTGTACGTATGATTGATATAGATTTTGCTTTGATGAACGCCCCAAGGAATTGGAATTCCTTCAGAGTTTATTTATTATATTCGGGGCTCTCTCTCATTCCCATTCGTGGAGCCCCAGTTCGTTTCGCTTTAACGTTTGCGAGTAGCGTTTTTATGCCATTTTCGAGCTGCCAATCCAAAAAACAGTGCTTACTCGTACGCCCCTCTATGTTTTGCGGTTTATGGTCAAAAAACTAAACAAATCTACGTTTACTCGAACATGTGAATGATTGTTGGAATCGATGGAATAGATGAATGTGTATTAAAATCGGGCTGCCGTTTTCTACCCTAAATATTATATCTAACGGGGGGGAACGTTGTGAGTTGCTGCGGACACCGCAACTCTACATTTATACCCGTTACTTAGTAAGTATGGCTCTCCTCCGGCAGACTCCGCGAATATTAAACGACACGACAAAGAGTGCGTGCGAGAGAGACAGAAAATCAGTCTGAGCGTGACGTCGGGCGCTGCGTAGCCACTGCAAATTGATTTGTTCCTTTTGGCTATAAAAATGATCTGATCTGATCCAGATTCAGCAATCTGATAGATATGGTCGTTATCTATGATTCTGCGTTTTTAGTTTTCTCGAATCTGCAATATTGTGGATGCAACAGATTTTCGTCATTTGTGTGGGCGGAAGGGAGGTGGGGCGAAATTTTGAGATATACGTTTTTTAGTGAGATCTAATAGAAGTGCGGATACCAAATTTGGTTACTCTAGCCTTAATTGTCTCTGAGATTTGACGATACCCCAGATTTTCGTCCTTTGCGGGGGCGGAAGGGTGTCCCTATACCCAAAGGAGTATAGGGGTATATTAGATTTGTGGTGAAAATGGATGTGTGTAACGTCGAGAAGGAAGCGTTTCCGACCCCAGTATATACATATATTCTTGATCAGCATCAATGGGCGAGTCGATTGAGCCATGTCTGCCCGTCCATCCGTCCGTCTGTCCGTCCCTATGAGCGCCTAGTGCTCAGAGACTATAACAGTTAGAACAACTAAATTTTGTATACTTGAAGTCTGCACTTCGGGCATAATTCCGTCCGGCGTATAGAGAGTGTTATGCAGGACTTCCCAAAAATATGTCCACAGGGCAACGAAACAACACGATGAGCACCAGTCGATTGCCAGGGAGACAGACAAATAACGCAAGTAATGTCATCAGCCGGATCCTCGAGAATTGCAGTCAACTCTTCCATGTCGATTTTGTATGACAGTTCCTTCTCCACTAGTTGGTTGAGCATCAGATCACGGCCGTTCTTAACCTCCTCCAGTTTCCGCTGAAGATTCCGAATGATCACCTGGGTCGATTGGTCGTGAGTTTTGAGTTTTTTCAGCAAAATCTCATTATTACGTTTCTCCTTTTCCAACAGAAAGTTAATTCCATCAATTTCAGTTATTGCGTTTTCCATCTGATAGTTGTTCTCCTGCGACTGCTCCAATGGAGGCGCGTCGGCCTGGTTTTCTTCAGAAGCGTCCATACTGATTTCATTCAAATCGATTAAATCATTATTGGAGTCACCCATGTCGTTTACTTGATTCCGATGAAGAATTGACTTTATTTTATGCGAATATTTGTTGATAAATGAGAGACAAATGATTTATTTTCCAACTCTGCTCGCAATTTTAATAGAAGTGCTGCCAGCCCAGCAAACAAAATATGAACTAAAAAATACCAAAGTGCAGTATACTGTATGGTTAGTGCTATTATATGTATAAGAACGTTTTGGTATTTTATTTTGGGTCTTCCCCCGATATTTTGTTCAAAGCATATATGTACATATGTGCCGGCACGAAATGTCTGACCACCAAATAGTTTCTGCACGTTAATTCTTAACAATTTTTTTTTTATTTGTTGTAATAAACATATTAGAACTACTATTTCTGTAAGTAAATGGATGAACATAGCCGTTAATCTTGCTATGTATGTACATATGCTCTGCACTCTGCTGCTAAGTAAATAAATTGCCAATTTATGTACATATGTACATATGTAATGTATGTAATTATATCCCTTTGGGCCCCTGTACCCCACGATGATGCAGAAACATTCAAATTAACATATTTTGAATAAACAAAGAACCTATTTTTCAGTTTATTGATAATTTATGATAATAATGCATTTTTGTAGGTTTCTTCACGAACCAAAAGTTATATTTATTGATTAAAGGGTTGCAAAGTACAATAGTAAACCAGAAAAGCTAATCTGCTGGCAAGATGTTGCGACCATAGATGTAGCGCATATCTGTTGAACCAAATGCCAATCCGCAAATTGGGCATTCAGGAAGTCGCTCAATGCATATTTTCCCAAATAGATGTCCACAGTACAACGAAATCAGACGATGTTCCCCCTCAGATGTCCACGGAGCTTGGCAAAGGGAACAGGTAATATTGGTGTAAAGGTTGTGGACTCTTTGTCCCACACGGCCTATTTCCTCTAGGTATGCACGCTCCTTCTCCTCAAGCTCATTGCGGAAAAGACCAAGATCAAGCTCTGCAATTTGCTGTTCTAGTTCCTGAATGATAAACTTCGTGGATTTATCCTGCTCTTCCAGATGGTCTTCTAAGGTCGCATTTTTGGAAATCTGCCATTCTAATTTTTTTAGAATTTGGTTAACTTTTGTAGATGCCTCGTCCACTTGAGGGTTTTGAGGCTGAAGCTCGTTATTTGTCTTCTGAATCGATGCATTTTGCGATTTGATCTCTGCAAGTTGATTGAGTAGCTGCTGACTGTTCTTCTGAAGCTCCTCGATTTGTTGTTGAAGCTTCTGAATTATCACCGTGGGGTCCCCCACGACACTTTTCTCCTGCTGCGTGTCTTGTTTAAGGTTTTGATGAGGTTGGGCCTGCTGATTCTCAAGATCGTGATCTTTCGCCTCCTGACAGCGGCTATTCTCACGTTCTCGAGCGTTCTCTTGCGGCTGCTCCAATGGCGATTCGTCGGCCTGGAATTCTTCAGAAGTGTGCATATTGATTTCAATCAAATCATTTACGTCATCATTGGTGTCCCCCATCGTGGTTAACTTGATTCTGGCAAAGATTTGACTTTAATTAATGCGATTAATTATTAATTATGCCAGACGAATACTCACAATTGCTTGCAATTTTTCAAAAAGTGCTGCCACACCACTAACCATACAGTATATACTGTAGTATATACATAGTACATACAGTATATACTGTATGGTTAGTGGCCACACCCTATGAATGATCGAACCAAAAAGAACTATTCGCTGTAGTGAACGAACTAATTAAGTTCATCTAATCGTTGAATTTTGTTCGTTAGTTAGTTTTGGCTTTCTGTTTTTTATCTGATATGGAAAAAATATTTTCTAAAAAATAAATCGAAATATTCTAACAATAACTAAGAACAAAAACCAACGATGAACTCAAAAGAGCGAGTTAATCGAACGAACAGAAATGAACGAACGATTTTTACCCAGCACTACTATATATATCACAGAACTTGGGTGTGGAATCACTGTATCGACTGAACTGATGTTTATTCGAATCAAATTACCTGATTGTAATACAATTATTCTTCTGTCTGTCATATTTATTTTTAGGTTAAATGAATTAATGTTCACACGATGAAATGCACAAGCGATTGTGAGTTGTCATAAGGTTGTTGGTAGACCGCGGGCAATAACAGCTTTCGAAAGATCAATATCATGTTATAGCGTGCATTTTAGCGTCATTCCAAATCCAAATTATTTTTTCTGGCTGTCGCTCCAAAATGAGTCAATCGAAGGGACAACTGGGCGATATCTGCCTTGATGGTCAACGACGGAAAAATCGACTTCTCTATGATAACTTTACATTGCTGTTGAGAGGGTACGTCTACGACCCAATCGCCAGCTTATAGTACTGTCTCATACCCCATTCTGTCTTTCAGGAGCCGCAGCCAACCGCCCAAGAACACGCCCAGCGATCAGCTCCTTGAAAGCGAATCAAAACACAGCAAAGACACGGGTAAGTTATAAGGAATTGGAATACTTTATTTTAATATCGATGCACTGGCTACGTGGGCGTGTCCCCCCCATATTTGCGGCTGGGCCTGGGCTTATACTTATGGGCTATACTTAGGATCGACATACATGGTTTCATCACTACTTCGACTTGCGCTGTCGCCGCAGGCTGCGGGAACGGAGCATTTTGTTCTCGTCGGCGCACTTCGTAGTGATCGCTGTGCGAACCTCACGCGGTGTCATGTCCAGAGTATTGGTCATCAGATAGACAAGGTCCGCCACCTTGAGGGGATCCAGTTGCTGCTTGCTGGGACGGGCACAGTCCCTGAAGGCCGGGGACGGTTTGCCGGACAGCGTGTGGTGAGCGAGAGTGTCGCGGTCAAAGATCTCGCAGAGCAACTTGCGGGTTATGGAGGGACCTGTCATGCCCCAGTTAAGGGCACTTAAGCTGTTGCGCGACACCTGCGTGCCATTTGGACCAATCACTACCATCGGCGAGTTCGGATCCTGATCAAACTCAAAGTCGGGGCACGGACGCTGGGCATTTGGAGTGGACGTTACGGGTTTCTTGATGCGCTTGCGTTTCCTGCTGTTCTCACTGTCGGGTACATAGTCTTCATCATCGTCATCGATTCCCAAATCCTCGTCATTGGTCCTGGGTGTAGAAGTGTTGTGGTCCTCAGTCCCATCGCGGAACATCTCAAAGTGGGACGTCCGTTGCGCATCATCCCGGTCCATTGCCTGAACCTTCTCAATCTCGATGGTGAGCAGATCCAGGGCCTTCCGCTTGTTCCGCTCCCATTGCTGCAGCAACTTGAGCTTCATCTCATTTACCGCCTTGATGGTGCTCTTCATCAGGATCTCCTGGTCTGCATCTGACGAGGCTGTCTCCCCATCGATGACCAAGTCGTTTTCCTGGAACATTCTGTCCTCCTCACTCTGCTGGGTTTTGAGCAGCCTCTCGGCAGCCAGTGTCAGAGTAGCCAATGTGCTTAGTTTTCCGTTATCGGACACCTCGATATCGTGCATGGTGTGGTCCACAAAAGTATCGGTCTCGGCATCTTTGAGGCGGCGCATCTTCCCGTCGTAGCTCTCCTCCTCGGTGAAGGAGTCGTCTGTGCGGAGACGGGCAATGATGTCCTCGACTCTTTTCTGTTCCGTCGACAGCTGCACCGTCATTGGGTCATAGGGCAGCAGGGTGAGGGCAAATTCCAGGCGTTGACGGCGATTCATCTGAAATAGAAGGATTTGTCAGTTGAGTTCTCCGTTTGGGACGTAGTATATCTTACTCTGTACTCTTCGGCTGCCAATTGTGAACTATCTTTTAGCTAATAAGTGACTTCTTTATATACAACTCCCAGCGCACCCTTCGCCGCGACAGGTAGATCTAAAAGGGTAATTACTTGACAATTTTTCTCTCTTGCAGATGGCGAGGGCCCCGAATTACAAGCCTGCAGCTTGGATTTTATCCGCCTACCTGGCGGTGGATCGCTTTGCAGCTGCTCAACGAGTAAAGATGGTCTCGACGAAAAGGAGCAGCCTTCTAGTTCAACTGAAACCATTGCTAACCAGCCATTGCAACTTCCCAAAGAGCTCGTTGCAGATACATTGAGCTACACACCGAGTGAAGACTCTAATATAACATCCAACTCAATGCATGCCATGGGCACCCAGACCATAGAATGTCTTTGCGGCTACATTTCGGATAATTCAGGTTTGACCAACAAGAATAAACCGATCCCCAATTATTATGAAGCCTCTCTACCTTGTGGCTGCCCATTGAACGATGCCTCCAATGCAACCCAACCCATTGGAACGCAGGACGCTAAAGCTCAAAGACAACCGATCTCTAAAAAGCTTTTAGAACGTTCTTGCAACTGCACATCCACATCGAGCATAGATGGTCCATGCCCTAAGAAGCATACGATGCAGATAGCAGATCAGAATTCGCAGTCAAAGTTATATACCGACGCTCAGTCCTTAGCGACTAAGGACTCCACTGAAAGCGGATTATCAAGCTACGGAGACATGGCGAAAAGATACCAAGAAAATAAACGAACTCCGGACACAAGCCAATATAACGTACCTATTCCCAAAGATTCTTCTCCCCAGGGCTCCATATATTCTGGTGCAACCCAAAAAGATACCAAAAGGCCCAATGATTCCTCCACCCAAACTTACATAGCAATTCCAAACGATTCCTTCACCCAAACTGAAACCATTACACCTCGCGAGAAACAGACTCCAAAAGATGTGGTAGTAAAAACCAAGAAACAAGATACTCCTCCAAAAAGTTCGGAGAAACGTTTTTGGAAACGTCCACAAATTGTGGTTCGTTCAAGCAATGAGTTTCTTCCTCCTCAAAATCAAGCCAAGCAGGAGGACAAAGACTACACAGGGACTGATCGATATCATAAAGAAACGCAATATAAAGAATCTTTTACAATTCCGGAGCAGGATTACCATGACCAGACAGCGAAACCTAAGGGAAAAAGTCATAAAAAAACACAGTATGAAGATTCAAATAAATCAGAAGGTAGTCTAAATGGAGAGATATGTGCCACGTGCGCTCTCGTTCCTGAATTACTTCAAAAGATATTCGACATGGAGCAGAAGATGAACCAACAGGAAAGTTCTCTTAGACAACTGCAATCCTCCATAAGATCATTAAGAGTGGAGGAAAAGAAACCTATCAAAATAGAAAATTTATTTAAGTCTACAAAAAAGAAAAATGAGGAAATAGGCCTTTGCGAATCTTTCTCTGAAGAACAGTCTTTTTGCAACAGGAAAAATTGCAGTTCTAGGTCATCTAGGCAGAAATCGGAAAACCCACAGTTTCATAATGCTGTGAAAATTTGTGATGATGTAAATTCCAAGAAGAGTAAAACCTCAGCTCGGTATGAAATCAAATTCCAGAAGTTAAAGAAAGGCCCATTAGATACCCCGTCGAGGGAAAATTTAAAAGAACAAGCATGCAATACTTTACTCGAACAATTTATTCAAATTTTTGTGAAACCCAAAGACCAAGACGCAGACTGTGGTTGTGAGGATTTGAGATCATACCGCGATAGAGCTGCCACATCTCGACTGGACAAGGACAAAGTCATCTCCACCGGGTCCCGACAGAACTTGAACGATGAGGTGTGCGAGTGCCTGATAGAGCAATTTATGCATATGTCCATGGTACCCAAGCGCGAAGAGACATTGGAGCCCACCACCCAGACGGAAGAGTGCGGTTGTCCGGTCCAGAAAATAAACAAGAGAAACGCAAAAGAGATTCCAATGAAACCGACATTCCCGCAAGAGGGAAACAGAGTCAAAACTCGTACCAGGTTCAATCAGTCAAAAGACAAGATGATGGAAATGGAAATGGAGGGTCAAAGAGCAGCTACAGCAGCATTAAATCAGCGAGAGAATTTTAAAACTAGTTCTGCATCAGAGCTTACGATGAACGAATCAAGCCAAACCTTAGGGCAACATTCCCTGCAAAGTCGCGGGTCGACCTTGTGCCAATTCTGTCAAGATAAAGACCTTCCCGTGCTGGACCATCTGGTCAGCGAGGTAATCGATCTAATTGGCTGTCGACCCCTCTGCCGTATTGTGATGACTGTACTTCTGCGGGCGGACAATTTTTACCATGTAAACATCCGTGAACTAGGCACCGGACGTGTGCTAGGCTGCCTGCTGGCCAATGATGCGGCTATCGAAGAGGCCATCAGCCTGGGCCTGTTTGATCAAATTCTTACATTTTTTGTGACAGATGTGCGTAGTACGATTAAACCCAAGGATGGTCCCTTTGCCATACACTTTGAGCTCATAGAACGCGAGTATGGAGGCGGCTGGGATAAGGAGCCCGCCAACACTGAGAAAGTCTTGGAATTTGCAACTCAAGTGCTGGGTCTGAACATTGGATATGCTAGTCAACTTTTTTCCTTAACTAATTCCACCGAATTGGACAAGCAAGCGTCTGATTGCAGATTGAGGCGCAGATCTCATTCGCTCTTTGCAGCTCATACAAACAGAAAAACAGCAGAGTGTTGCACTTCTCAATTGATATTAATCGACAATGGAGACAACTATTCAGTGCGTCGTCACTCAGATTCAGAAAGGAGCGATGGTTTAGGTGCGTCATCGAGCTTGTTTCTGCGCATTGTAACCGGTAGGGCAAAACGTGAATAACATTGAATCGGACAATTCTGTCAGAACCTCTCGATTAATCCTAAAATGTTCGGTTCAATACGACAGCTGTCATTTCGTAAGTCTGGGAATATGTGAGAGAAGACCTGATTGCTATTTTCTTTGATCGCTGCATTTTTAGATATTTAATTAATAAATTGCACTTTAAAATTGTTATTACTATTGCCCTTTATTTGAGAACTCTCTTATTCGAGATTTAATAAATTCTAAATCAAATGTTTTAATGAAGATCTAGTTTGTGGCTTTCAAAAACTTATTAATGGAATTGGAAGTTCTATCGAAATATACCACGAGCATTAAACATGCATCTTTCAGAAGATACGGACATAATATGGATACACTTATGGGGTTTTATGTAGGCTGCACGTATTTGGTTTATCCATTAAATTAGCTCTTGGACAGCCACAGGTACTAACACAATTATACATGTAACGATGTAACAACTGGCGCACTAATCCTATCCTATAGTGACAACGATCGGTGGAAGCTAGGCTTGGACATATGTCGTCTTCTTTATTACCGTACATCTTTGTGTATTGGGTTAATCCCTACAATCAGACGCAGGTACTGCACAATTGGAAAACACCCATCGAGCAACTTTACCTGGAAATCCTTGGGCTAAGAGTGGGGTTTTTTAAAGCACCTCAGGTAATAGCGAGTGTGCCCTTATACCTCTCTTGCGTATAAAACAGAGCACTACCGTGAAGAAGCCATCAGTTCGCAGCGAGCAAAGCCAACGAAAACATCAAAGAGATCAACTATTAAGAGAAGAGAGAACCGAGGAACATGAGCAACATTAGCAACGACAGTGGACTGGATGACTCTGCCATCTGCGGAGCTATGGCCAATCCCAGTGGTCAGGCAGCGACTCGTCTCTCCTGGTTCCTGGCCGAGGTAGATGAAGGATCGATGAAGAACGGACAGCCAAATGGCCAGCCGCGACTCTGCGTCCTCCACTCCATGGAGCTGCTGGAATCGGATGTCTCCGACAAGTATATGACCCGTTTTGTGGAGTTCCGGGTCAACGGCATGGTGCTGGAGGCCAAACTGATCTTAGCCGCCGATGAGCGGCGGCTGGTAGACGCGGCCTTGGTATCGATGAGCAAGGAGCAGCGTGAGGAGTCTAGCGCCAGGCAGCTTCTGGTACAGTACACAGAGAACGAGGAAGCAGGCGAACGTCTGGTCCATAAGTTGGTGTCCCCCAACAACGTGGTCTGGCTAAGCACGAAGCCAGAGTTAAAGTGCAATCCGCTGGTCAGTCTCGGTCCCGGATGCATTGCTCATGTACTGTATGCCTATGATCAGCGAGACTATATGGAGAAGGTGCTGCTCCATCTGAAGGCACGCTGCTTTGATCACGCCTTCGATGACCAGCTGGACATGCCGGTGGCCATGGACGATAACACCTGGCTGCTGGTGCAGTATAGTCCTGAGCCGGAAACCGTAGTCTACCAGGTAATACAGTTCAGCCATACCGTGTGGCGGCAGGAGAACCTCTTCAAAGACGTCATTGCCTATGTCCAGTTGCCGGGCAGCGAACTAGTGCTGCAGGCCGTCGTCATTAGCTATGGCCAAGATCAGAAGGAGCAGTTAGCCAAGTACGATGATCTGCGTTGCTTTGCGATGGATCTGGACTTCCCGCTGCCCGAAGAGCTGGAGGAACAACTTGAGCAGGGCAGTGGCACCGCCGCCCTGTTCTCCCGCACTAGCATTTACCAAAGAGCCGAGGAGCGGGACGCCACTGGAGAGCACAAGGAGCTGAGGCACAGTTTGGAGAAGATGGGTGAGAAGGCCCAGAGCGAGGCCCAAATGATCATCGATGCCTTCGACATGGTCGACAACATCAACAAGAATCTCCAGTGCCGCCTGGGTGGCGACGTCCGACTGGAGATGGCACCCACATCTGGAGACGAACTTCATTAGTCTAGCAAACCCCTCCTCATTTCAGTCATTATACAAAGTTTAAAACTTGAGTTGTTTAGATGTAATCTTTTAAAGAACTTTTATATCTAAAAAACAGCGGTAAACATACATTTTAACATTTCAGTGATCACCAGTGCTGCATAGAAGATTATCTTTGGATCAAAATTTAGTATTAATGGTGAAATAACAAAAAAAAAAAAAAAAAAAAAAAAACATTCACTTTTTGGGTAATTGATCGATACTTTAAAGCTTAATTAAATTTAGACTAGTTTACATATTATATAAATTATATTACAAAATTCAAATAAATGAATACAAAAAGGTTTAACAAAGAGTAAGAAACAATAAATAAACTAATTCCTTCCTGTTTAAAATCCACATTCTACAATCATATGAAACATGAATTTATCGTAAAAGCTTGACTTAAATTCAAATATTTTTCAAAAATTATTTATAGTTTCAGAATCTATTCCAGTTCTTATACAAAATGTATCCAAAAATAGTTAATTAAAAAAAAAAAATGTTAATAGTTATATTCAGGAACGTATTTGAATTTGGTTTACTGTAAGAATATATTAAAGACTAAGACTAAGATATACCTTTAAGGTTCAGAAAGTTCTACAACCGAAAAGCGACTGAAGGACTTAAATTCTATGATTGAAAAAAGGTTTAGACGCTTACAATTTAACAACTCGGGTGACTGCAAAAAATTCTTCAGTTCAGCAAATTCTAAAATAAAAAATATTAAAAAAAGTATGTTAAGCTTACAAATGTTTAAGAATGGATAAATTACCAAGAGCCGAGTTTAGAATTCTGTCATTGCACTGATCCGAGGTAATTTCATTTGTTGTAAATTGGTCGCAGCGGATGCACTGCATTCGGAGGCACCTGCAACACTGTGCCCGTTTCCTCAAGATAAACAGTGAATGTGCTTGTTTTCCAGTCTATTTTCAGTATAAAACCCTTTTTCATATGCCCTAGCCATTTGTGTCGCTGCACCAGACAATGGGCACCAGCGTTGAAATCGTCCCTGATACATAGCTGGAACTTCTTCGCCTCTTTTTTCATCACAAGAAAAGAGCTGAGCTCCACATTTCGATAGATATTCGGGTCTAGGGACTTGGCAACGGAATACGAAAATGGCACGATGTTGTCATCTACACATTTCAGCGTGCACGACAATGGCACTCGTCCGAATCTCTGCACATACTCTCGCCAACGTACTCGATTGTGGAAGTCGCAGAGCTGTTTGTCTTTCAATAGGCAGCTGGTGAGCTCTGGCGAGTCCACGTCGAAGCTGCGTCCATTTCTGCATAAAATGCGGACAACTGTACCATTTTGACTATACTCCAGCGTAGTGCCTTCGCAGAATGTGTCCGGATTCAGCATCTTCTCAGCTGCCAGGCTCACATCCGGCAGCTTGAAACACATCTGGTAAAGCATCTTAAATGTGATGGATTGGCAAATGGCTGCCTCCTCAATGTGTCCCATCGTGTATACAGCATCGAAATTGCCATACTGGTCGATGAAAACACTAAAATTCTTCTTGTATTTATCGCTAAACGTCACTGGCGTGCCAAGCCTCATTGGCTCATGCACAATCGCATTCCGGCCGTACATAAGGCATAGGGCGCGTAGTTCTATCATCGTCCCCCGAGTATTCGGCTTCTCTAACTTCGACAGATAGTCGTTGAAATTGCCCGTTATGTTTCTCCTGAATAGGCGACGCTTGTCCATGATAAAGCGTACACAGTCCATTCGCACCTCGTAGTGAAGATTCTGTGTATCATACATCTGCTCGGCCACGACTTGGAACAAGCTGCTGTCACTCCTAACCATTAGCTTGCGATACAAATGTTGGTCCGCCAAATATTGATCAACGGGATCGCGACGCGCCAGTGTGTTGCCCGGGCCTTTAAGTGTGTGGGGCCGCATGGATGTCATGTTTACGAGCAAAGCAGAACTGAATGTGAGAGGAAAAGGGTTGATGTAACTGATGCACTCATCCACTATAGTAGGAATATATTCGCATTTATTCTACTTATTACACAATTTACTCACCGAAAAAAATGGGAAAACGAGTTAGAAAAACGTGATCGACTATTTGTTGTTTCTATTAGTGTGGATAGTTGCGCTGAAAGGCATAAAAGTGCAAAAGTGCGTCGTAAAGCGTTCGTGCTGGTCACACTATCGCTTCCCGCCGAAGACAAGCAACCAACAACATCCAACGTGAAAACCAAAAACAAACCAAAATCCGCGGAGACAATACACCCGCAAGCCGTCCCAGATGCTTAAATATCACAGGAAGAAGCCCCAAAAGCGCCAATGGGGCTATATTTCTGTGGCGCTGCCATCAAGTTGCAATACATTGACGGCGTTGCCACATCAATCGAAATAGATATTATCGGTCGGCGTTAAATATACTTTCAATAACTATTACTTACTGGATTTTTGTTAATAAATTTACATAGTTTTTAAGGATTGGCGAATACCGATGGCCACATGACATAAGAATTTGCTAACTAACTATCTGTAAAAACAGAGACAGCCTTATGGGAATAGCATGCAGTAAGAGCGAGATGAAGATATGCGTGCGGCTACTAACACTAACTTTGCGTTTTGTCTCTCATGCTATCTCTCTCTTTCTTCCCAGTAACAAACGAATGTCCCCCTCCCACGGAAAGGCTAATACGATAATCATCTAATAATAATCATTTTAATCATATACTTCTCAGGTCTTGCGTAAGCCACTTACATACATATGTAGATACATGTATGGTGATGCAAACAATTTAGAGCTTAGGCCTTTATTTCATTTCATGTTACTATGCAGAATTTGGAAAATATTGTGTATCTGTGGATGTGGTGCTTCCCATCCGTCCGTCTTGACGAACTCGCGGATGATCTGACGAAAGTATTTTGCAATTTCTACGAAACATTTTCACAGCCTTTATTTCAGTCAAAAATGAATTGTATATAATGTTACCATGTATCTCATGTTCATGTGTGGGTTAGTGGCAGATGCTAACAAAGGTGTTCAAAGAATTTGGAAAATGTGTATCCGTGGATGAGATGTTTAGGATTATTCTGACCTGGAGTCTACTCGCGAGCCAAGCGGTCGCGCTGCTCGCGGTCCTTGAACATTTCGGCAGCGGCGGAATGGGCTCCGGATTGGGCTCCGAGAGCAGCGATCGGATGGACAAAAGTAGCTTCTCCACGGTCAGGGCAGGCGACCAATTTGAGCCCAGCCCAGATAGCCCCGTGGTGTATATTGCAATGGTAGACCCTTGTACGGAACAGTAAAAACGGTGGTTGAGACGGGTACGTCTGGGAAAAGTGTAGGCGTAGTTCAAAGTTCCCGCCCTCGTAGTGCGTGTCCGAGGGCCGACTCGTCTGCACCCATACCAGCGGTACTTTGAGGCGGTGCCATCATCTTTCCAGATGACGTCAGAAAGCTTAGAAACTCTTTTATGGTAACAATTTTTTAATATAAGTTAATTGCTTACGTTTAGAATATGGAATGGAATATGTGTGTGTTTTCTTCCTTCCAACGCTTTACAATGGGGCACATGAAACGAAAGTATCGATATGCCATATGTTATTTATTTTTGCTTATCGATAGCCGAGAAAAAGCTGGCTTCCCTTCTCTAATTTCTAAAAAAAAATATAAAAAAATGTCTGAACATCGTGAATTAAATGCCATTCCTGGCGAAGAAATAATGTCTAGCGACAAAACTAAATCAACTGAATGGTTGTCGGCCGATCCAGGTATAGGAGACGAATCTGATAACGAAACAATTGGCAAGGCTAAAGAGAAAAAGACTGCTGCCAAACGTAAGGGAAAACCTGGTGAGCCTAAAGTCGAGCCAATTGCCAAAACCGAGCAGGAAGGGAGCTGCATTTGCGCACGTGGCAGCTATCAAATTAAATGCTTGAAATGCAAGAACTGTTTTGTGGGTCGCATATTTGAAAAGTGCGCTGTGCACCCCAAGTCTGAGCAATTAATGGACGCCGAATTCTGTCTTTATTGCGGCCAAGAATCCCTAATACGGCGCAGCGACGAGACAGATTATTCGGACTCGGATGGCGATGAAGAGTTTGATGACATGGATATATCCAGCGGGGAGATGGAGTCTGAGTGCGATGAGACGGACTCTGAGAGCGATGGGACACTCGTGGACATTGTTTCATCGGACTCTTCCGAAGGACAACCGTAATAACAACCAATGTCAGGAACCAGGAACCGGATCGGGACGACGACAGCGAAGATCAGCAGATCAAGAACAATATACATAACTAAAATTATAGCTTTCAAAACAACTATTTAAGTTTTCAACAAATTAACTAACGCATCCTGCACATATCCAAACTGTCAACCTAATAAATACATATGTAATAGAAGTCTGCAGTTTGATGATGATGCTCTGCACGCAGCACGTTGCCGCAACCATTGCTTGAGCAATCCGCTGGTAATCAGACAGTCGGCCGTGTTTTTCATGAGGGCGTCGAAGGTACATCAGCGAGGGGGGTTCCTCGCACTTGGACAGCTTTAAGCAAGTGGTGCGGTAGCTGCACCACATGTCCGATGCTCAATGCTCCAAGCGCTGCCCCACAAACATGACCAGCACCTTCAGCATCTCCTCCTGCCCGGGCAGGTACAGGAACTTACAGCCACACGCCCTCACCGCGGCGCACACGTTGGAGCAGAGCTACTGGCGATTCTGGTGCTGCAGAAGATATAACATCCTTTGAGGAGTCTCGCTCATACCTTATCGATTTCGTGTTCCCAACTGACGATTATATGTGAGATTCAGAACATATTCATATGTGTTTGTTTCTATGAATGATGTACCTTCAGACATACATATGTACATATGTTATGCTTCATTCCCACTGTTGTGGTGAATCAGTTGAACGACCTTGCAACATCTTTCACACCTAACAAATTCCTAGCGTTTAAGCAATTATGAAATCACAACTTCATTGATACTTTCCCAACTAAATAATTAATTGGCAAACAGAAATAACCAAGTAAATTATACATATGTATGTATCCCCATAAATCCATTTCAGAGCGTGTCGCAATCAATTTTCCTCATGCTGTTGCCTGCCGGAGTTCTAGGTAAGCCATTAACTGAGCGCTTTTCAATTATTTAGCAATCAGAGTATCATTCATTTGGATTAATCCGACTAACCCAATCACTTCATCATACCACCACAGTCCGGACCTGGACGCCGACAACTTAATTATGAGGAACTCGAATAATAGACACCCAGTGGAAGATTGGGCATTTCTTCCGATTTCATTTTGTGGCCAACAATTCTTGGCCGTCTGCTTATGGGGATATTGACTTGTCTGATTATTTTTATTTGCTTGGGAAATGCTCCGCCCGAGACATAAAACTATGCCGCTTCCAGAGACATGTATAAACATTTATACACGATTAAGTGTTTTGTTTGTTTTTATGTTTGGTTTAGCGCTTCCGTTGCCGCTGTCGAAAATTCCAATGCCCGTCAGATATGGCGTATACGCTTCATTTAATGGACTAGAATGAGACACACAGCCAGTATCGTAGACAGTATCGAGAGGAAGGCAGAAAAAAGCAAAAACGAATTTGGAATTCGACTCGGAATCGGAATCGAAGGGAGGAGCCAACGTTTTGGGCCAAAGTAAAGTGCGGCTAAAGTGTGCTGCCCATGGATTTGTGTGGATTCTTCAAATTCAATAAAATGTGTGTTCGGCCAAGGCCACATAAATCAATGAAAAACTAATCAAAAAATCAGAAGAAAAACACTGGGGAGTTTTTTTTTTCAAATGGAAATGGAATACAAATGAATTGAGTTGGCTATGTGCTCAAAATATTCAAAGCATACTATATGGTAGGCTTAAAAAAACAGTAACGTTAAAAAATTGATCCCAAAAATAACGCTGTTTTGTTCTTAAATCCATTTAAAATGCAAATCAATTAAGCTAAAAGCGCAATGTGCCCGGGCTATTTATATTTTCAGGTTCCGTTCCATTTCCCATTTAAAAATTTCAATTTATGCAAATGCAACAGCACCAGCAGCAAGTCGAGCTTCGGGGGAGCCGCAAGCTTAAATGCTCATTAGTGTTCAGCATGCCCAAAAAAAAAATAATAAAATAAATAAGCGGGAGAGTAAGCGATAGCTGATGCTGCCACTAGAGAGTACCCAGTATTTGAAGAGTAGCCGATAGACCATCTTAAATTGAGAAATTATATGTGCAAATTATATGCAATATAGAAATTTGTTACCTGATTCTAAAAATTATTTAAGGGAAAAAACTGAAAGAAACTTTCGGTAGTACCCTCATTTGAATGCCTCAAATATACCCTTTGTACTTTACGCGTACTGGGTACAGAAAAAATAGTATCCTGAGATGTAGTCGAAGAAGGGAGAAGGCTAAGCCCCAAAACTGAAGACTGGGGAGCGCACTCGAGCGGATTTCATGTCGCCTGCATTCACATTCAGATTTAGTATCTCTGTGGAAATTCCCCAAGTTTATGCCGCTTGCCGCAATCCTGCTGACTTTTCAAATGCAAAGCACTTCAAGTCGGGGCTTTGGGCTGTCGAATTGCATGCAATTAATTTGAACTCACGACCAACTTACAGGATGGTCGGCCAAGACAGAAGCCATTCGGTGTTGGGGGAAATGGCAAATACCAACAGAAACATTTCGCTGTTGCATTGTTGTGCAAATTGATCCCATTTTAATGATGAATTTTGTTTGGCAAAACTAATTATTTGGTTGAAAACGTTTTGCAACCGATGCCGATGCGATTGTATGGCTTTTATCATACATAAGTCAAGCATCACTGTTTTAGTTATATAAGTGAAGGTTCTTTGTTTTCGTTTTGATGTTAGTTGTCAGAGAATTATTTTTGATTTCACTGACTTTTCCACGCAATGCAATTTAAATATTG